GTGGGTCTCCGCCCTGACAGAACTCTCGTGGTTTTTTGTTTAAGCCTCTTTTGTGTCTCCGCCCTCAGAAAACTCTGGCGATTTGTTTGTGTTATCTTTTTTGTCGGTCTCCGCCCTGACAAAACTAGCCTGAATTATCTCTTTTGTGGGGCCACCCTGCTGTCCTGTGAACAAATAACTCTCGCAGTGTGTTTCTCACACCCCTGCCACCACCCACCATTCATTTTTGACCCACTCCCATCCCCCCTCCCTTCCTTTCCCCCCCCCCCCCCCCACGCACACTGCACTGCGCGAGGACAATGGGACCCTAAACCCTAAAGCTTGAAACCCTAAACCCTGAAACCCTAAACCCTAAGCCCTAAACCCTAAACTGCCCTAAAGCCTGAAACCCTAAACCGGGCTGTGTAGCCCTAGGCTTAGGAGGTTGGGCTGTGTAGCCCTAGGACAAATGGGCTGTATAGCCTTAACCCTGAGGGCTTTCTGGGCTGTGTAGCCCTAGGACCTAGGACCCTAAGATCTTAGGGTTTTGAGGGTCATGGGCTGTACAGCCCTAGGACTTTCTGGGCTGTATAGCCCTAGGACCCTAAGACTTTAAGATTGCAAAAAAGGTTTTGAGGGGAATGGGTTAGGACATGGGTTGCCCAGGTGGCTTCTACAGCTGTCGGTTGAGTTCACTTCGCTTTGGACGCCTGCCCGGGTCCCACTGGGTTTGCGGGTTGGCAGTTGAGGGTTGAGTAGTCTGGGGCTAAACTACACAATGAAATTGTCTTGGGGTTATACAGCCCAACCTACGGCTTCACAGCCCGAAATAGTCGTGTTAGGCATTCACAGCCCAAATTATACAGCCCAGCCTAGGGCTTAGGGTTTCGAATTTCAGGTTTAGGGTTTAGGGTTTAAAGGTTCAGAGTTTAGGGTTTGGGGTTGAGGATTAACAGTCGCGGGTTGAGGGTGTCGTGTTTAAAGAGGCCTGACAGCTTAGGGTTTAAAAGGGGTGTAAGGGGTCCAAGGAGTTGGTTTTTTTTTTCGGTTTAGGGTATGGGTCTTACTCCTCTTTCTTGTGGTTTTAATTGGCTAAGGCATCGATTTGGCCTAGGGCATAGGTCTTAATTAGAGTTTGGTTTGAAGGGATGGTGTTAATTATTAATGTTGACTTTTGAAATTTTATAAGAAACCCCTCAATTCCAAAACCCCAAGGCCAGAACTCACAATGATACAGTTACACCCCCCCCCCCTCACCTGAATCCTAAACTGATTATAAACCCTGAAGCCTAACCTCAAACCCTGAACCCCAAATTCACCCTAACTTCCAAACCCTAAAGCCTAAGCCCTAGGCTGGGCTGTGTAGCCCTACGACAATGGGCTGTAAAGCCCTAGTAGCCCTAGGAACCTGGGCTGTAAAGTCCTAGGCCGGGCTGTATAGTCCTAGTTGGGCTGTGTAGCCCTAGGACAAATGGGCTGTATAGCCCTAGGCAGGGCTGTGTAGCCCTAGTTGGGCTGTGTAGCCCTAGGAGAAATGGGCTGTAAAGCCCTAGGTGGGCTGTGTCCTACAACAATAATTAAAACTCTAAACCCGAAACCTAAGCCCTAAGGCGTAAAGCCCAACCCCTAAAATCCAGACCCTAAACCCTAAGCCCTAAACCCTAAGCCCTAAACCCTACACCAATGGAGTTTGAACCGGACGGGACTACGCACGATGCGTCGGCTTGGAACACGGGCTTCCACCTCCGGGACCCCGTGCCCACAACCAGCCGGTCGCACCTGCAGCCAGCCACCTAAGACCTAGCGACACACGGTGCTCATCCTTCCTGGCGGGGGCCACTGGCTACATCGCGCGTCACGACGCGAAGAAGCGACGGCTCAGCAGCCTGCCCAGGCTGGCCGAACTTCAACCCTAAAACCTGAACCCTAAACCCCAAACCCGAAACCCTAAACCTGGATGACGCAATAGTATACGAGAATCCTTAAAACATAATAACGACATGGACAGTAATCCTTTCCCCCTAATACTAAATCCCCCCCCTCCCTAGTTCTGAAATTCGCCTGGGCCCGAAAAATATTTAAAATTAGGGGTGGGTTTAAATCCTAATAAAACTCCAAAGCATATACCCTAATTAAACCCTCTAAGCCCTGAGCCCTGAATCCTAACAATCCTGTCAGCCTTCAGCCCTAAACCCTGAAACCCTACTCGCTCAACTCAAGCGCGAATGCCCTGAACCCCTCCCCCACTAATTCTCAAACAGGTTTTGTACTGGGCTGGGTCCTGGCAGGATCCGGCAATAATAATTCTTAAAATTAGGAGGGGTTTTAGTGTTAGGAGGAAGTGATTAGAAGACCAAGCGTTGCTTTGCTCAGGTCCGTCCATGCCGCCGTCTCCACGCAGCTGCAAGGACGAGCACAGCAGCCCGGGCCACAGACAGTCAAGAGCACCTAAACCCTAACCCTAAACCCTCGACCCGAAACCCAAAGCCCAGAACCCCTAAACCCTAAACCTTAGACCCTAAACCCTAAACCCAAAACCCTAAACCGAGAGGTTTCAGCTTCAGGCTTCACCCGCACCCTCAAAACCTTTACATCATTCGATGGTCACGGGCTGTATATCTGTATAATCCCCAGGACCCTAAGAAGATTGTTTCATGGATTTCAGGGGCATGGGTTAGGGCATGGGTAGGCTAGGACCCAAAGATTGCTTAGGGGTTTTGAGGGTCATGGGCGAACTCAGCCTTGTTTGGCTCCGTCCGGCTGGACGCTATGCACATATGTATTCAGGCAGTCCCACCTTCAAATACCACTGCCACGACATGATCACACACACCCGGAACCTTGGACACCAAACCTTCAAGTGCAAATGACAAACCCCCTACGAGAGTGTGTTGAAGTTTCACCCAATGGGCCAAGGAGCTCGGGAGAGGCGTGATCGCAAGGGCTATGGCAAGTATTACGACAAAGCCAACCCTCCCACCCCGCGCATTGTGAAAGTCGTGCCAGCAAAGTTCGCTCCAGCTACTTGGTTTCTGCGTATGGCAATTTTGTATAATAACTTTAAGGCTCTTTACTGTAACTTTAGATCTTAGCCTTTTTGGGTTTATTGGGTTCTTTAATAAGGCAGCTAAACGTTTATTTAATTTCTACCCTGCGAAGTGAAGCCAAGATAATGTGTGTGTTTGTTTTATAACTTTTACTTCTTTTTATTCTTGTACTTCTTTCCCTGCATCAGACTGGACCGCCGGCCAAAGCCGATGCGGCACCCAGCAACCCACCACCTGGAGCAGCACCGGCACCGGCAAAAGCAGCTTGGTGGCTAGATGAGATGGTTTGCATATGCAATCCATAAACACCCATCTTCATAGTTTTTGACTTCTTTGATTCTTTGATTCTGCATCAGACTGGACCGCCGGCCAAAGCCGCTGCGGCACCCAGCAACCCACCACCTGGAGCAGCACCGGCACCGGCAAAAGCAGCTTGGTGGCTAGATGAGATGGTTTGCATATGCAATCCATAAACACCCATCTTCATAGTTTTTGACTTCTTTGATTCTTTTTTCTAGTATTTATTAACCCCCTAGGATGGACCACCAGCCAAACCGATGCCAGCTCCTCCAATGCCGGCCGCGGAGCTGGCCGCAGCTCCTTCAGCTTCCACAGGCCTCCCAGTTGCACCTTGGCTTGTGGGTTAGGACGAAAATTTTCATTCCAAACAACCCAATGTTGATAAGTTTTCATTTCCTTCTCGGCTTCTTAATTAAATAGTTTTGCTTCAAGACCCTTTTAAACCCTAGACCTTAAACCCTAAACCCTAAACGCTAAACCCTAAGTCCTAAACCCCAGGCTGGATGCACACCACCTGGGACAACACCGACAACAAACGTCTAGCCACCAAGCTGCAAAAACAGCTCCCTCTCCAAGATGGCCAGCTGCTGGCAAGGGCCCCCGCTGTGGAGCGTGTTCAACAGCGGGGGCCATTGCTAGCGAGCCACCTTGCAGAGGGACGGCAGAAGCAAAAGCAGTTCCCTCTCCAAGATGGCTCACTGCTGGCAATGGCCCCGCTGCTGAACAGTATGTTCAACAGGGGGGGGGGGGGGCACTGCCAGCAACGAGACCACCTTGGATAGAGCCGGCAAAAGCAGCTCCCTCTCCAAGATGGCCAGCTGCTGGCAATGACCTCCAACCGCGGGGGCCATTGCCAGCAACGAGACCACCTTGGAGAGGGACGGCAAAAATGACAAGGAGCCGCCTTGGAGAGGGCCAGCAAAAGCAGCTCGGTGGCTAGATGTTTATCCGAACACCCTATCTAGGGTTGAGGAAAAGGGTTCAGGGTTTAGGGCTTATTTCCAGTACCCCACATCAGCAGGGCGGACCGCCAGCCAACCTGCCGCCGATGCCACCTCCTCCTCGTCCTGGCATGCCGGCTGTGGGAGCTGAATCCACTGAAGGTGCAACTGCTCCAGCTTCCACGGGCCCAGCTGCACCTTGGCTTGTTGGATTGGGTTTTACTTATTATTTATTATATTCCAAACATCCCATGTTCATAGGTTGTCATTTTTTACATCTTGGCTTCTTAATTTAATTACTTTTGCTTCAAGTACTTCTTCACCCTGCAGCAGGCCCATCTTCATCATTTTTCTTCTTTGATTCTTTGTTTCTAGTACCTCTTAACCCTGCGTTTTAATTAGTATATTCCAAACATCCCATGTTGATAACTTTTTGTTTTACTTCTTGGCTTGGTCAAAGCACATGCAAGCGTTCTGCGCATTGCAGCAGCCAAGGCTCCACCAGCAGCAGGCCTACTCCGGCTACCGTCAGTGGTCCCGGACGTGCATACCCTGCTGGTGTTGGGCTCGAGACAGTCAGCTGTCGGTCCCCACGTCGCAACTTGACTTGGTTTGGTCACTCTTTCCTGTTCTTGTAGTGGAATCAGCATCGAAACATATGTTAAAGCAATGTTGTTTCAGTGCCGGATCCAAACTCACCAAGTTGGAACCGTTGCCAGATGGCTGGAAGCGAATGCTCGACAGTGAGAGCAAGTGCTACTTCTATCTGCACCACGCCAGCAGCGTCACGACATGGCTTCGACCATCGCTTTGGCAAGCGTGGAAAGAATTCTGTGAGGACGGTAGCTCGGCTTGGATTCTTTACAGTTTTGGGGGTTGTGTCGGGAGCAGTGCCGGCTGAAGGGAACGAGGATCCCTCCAACCCTCAGCCCAGAACAGTGTACTAAAGCAATGTACTTCAGCTGTGCCCAAGGGTCGATCAAGATTTTCTACTACCACCCGCTCCAACACGTGATGTCCTGGACGCTGCCAGCAGGCCACACCTACCTCGGCCAGGCTCAGTCTCCATGTTGAAAATTGCAATTCATTTTTTTAGTGGCTTTGGGATCGTAATTAATCATCCTGTCTTTGGGGGCAAGGTTCTTTTGTTTGGGGTCCTGTGTCGCGAGGAGGCCGGTCACCTGATGGCACCGTCACAGCCAGCTCCAGAGCCAGGACCAGCGCCGAGCAACGCAGCGCAGGGCAGCAGCGGGAATCTTACAGATACTTGAGTCTATTTTGTGCTTTTTTGGTGGTATTATATTTCCTAAGAAACAGCTAAAATTACTATTTTTTTTGGCTAGGGTTCCAGCTTCATGGAAGGCCGGGAGCGGAAGCAGCTGGACCAGCCAGCAGTGAGAAGGAGAAAAACAGGCTGGAGGCCGAAGCAAAGGAACGACTGCGCAAGGCGGAAGAAGATAGGCAGAAACGCGAGCAGGAGGCTCAGGTTCAGGCACGAAAGCGCAAGGAGGCGGAAGCTCAGGAACAACAGCGCAAGGAGGCGGAAGTTCGGGAACGAAAGCGCAAGGAGGAGGAACATCTGCAGAAACAGAAGGAAAAGGACGAAGCAGAGCAACAAAAGCGCAAGAATGCGTCTGATGAGCAGAAAAAGAATGAGGAGAAAACGCGGAAGGAGTCACAAGCCAAGGCGGCAGCTCTCAGAGAGAAGTTCCAGTGACTTGGACTTTCCAAAAGCTACCATGTACCTTATGCGGTTGTCATGTTTTTGCATCCCTTTACATTAGTTAACACTACAGTGTAGTCTGGCCACCGAAAAGTACACGCTGTATGTGCATCTAAACCCCGAACCCTAAATCCCCTAAAACACCCTAACTAACCCCAACCTTAAACCCTGAACTTTCAATAATAAGAGTGTCGGTATGGCAGCAGTAGTAAACGACTGCATGAGGCAAGAAGCAGCGAGGAAGAAGAAGCAGCAGCAGGAGGCAGGCCGGAAGAAGGATGCCAATGCCGGCCAGAAGCTAAAGGAGGAGGAGGAGGCCGAGAAGAAGGAGCCAGTGGAGCCTGCCAAGGCAGGCCAGAAGCTAAAGGAGGAGGAGGAGGCCGAGAAGAAGGAGCCAGTGGCGCCTGCCAAGGCAGGCCAGAAGAGGAAGCCTGAGTTCATATCGGAGCTGCAAGATGTGGCCAGGACTTCCAAAGCTGCAAGGAAGGAGCCGGAGGAGGAAACAGCAACGACGGAGAAGGAGAAAGCAAGCAAGGATGATGAACAAGCAAGGAAGGATGCAGAGAAAGCAAGGAAGGATGAGGAAAAAGCAAAGAAGGAGGCTGAGAACAAGGCGAAGAAGGAGGCGGAGAAAGCAAAGAAGTATGAAGAACAAAAACAAAAGGATGCGGAGAAAGCAAAGAGGGAGGAGGACAGAGCAAAGAAGGAGGCTAAGAACAAGGCGAAGAAGGATGCCGATAAAGCAAAGAAGCTGGAGGAAAACGCAAAGAAGGAGGAGGACAGAGCAAAGAAGGAGGCTGAGAAAGCAAAGAAGGAGGCGGACAGAGCAAAGAAGGAGGCGGACAGAGCAAAGAAGGAGGCTGAGGACAAGGCAAAGAAGGATGCCGATGGAGCAAAGAAGGAGGCGGAAAACTCAAAGAAGGAGGAGGACAGAGCAAAGAAGGATGCCGATCGAGCAAAGAAGGAGGCGGAAAACTCAAAGAAGGAGGCGGACAGAGCAAAGAAGGAGGCTGAGGACAAGGCAAAGAAGGATGCCGATCGAGCAAAGAAGGAGGCGGAAAACTCAAAGAAGGAGGAGGACAGAGCAAAGAAGGACGCCGATCGAGCAAAGAAGGAGGCGGAAAACTCAAAGAAGGAGGAGGACAGAGCAAAGAAGGAGGCTGAGGACAAGGCAAAGAAGGATGCCGATCGAGCAAAGAAGGAGGAGGAAAACGCAAAGAAGAGGGCAAAGACGGAGGCCGACGAAGCAAAGAAGGAGGAGGAAAACGCAAAGAAGGATGAAGAAAAAACAAAAAAGGATGCAGAGGAACCAAATGAGGAGGAGGACAGAGCAAAGAAGGCAAAGATGGAGGCCGACGAAGCAAAGAAGGAGGAGGAAAACGCAAAGAAGAGGGCAAAGACGGAGGCCGACGAAGCAAAGAAGGAGGAGGAAAACGCAAAGAAGGATGAAGAAAAAAAAAAAGATGCAGAGGAACCAAATGAGGAGGAGGACAGAGCAAAGAAGGCAAAGACAGAGGCCGACGAAGCAAAGAAGGAGGAGGAACACGCAAAGAATGACGAGAAGAAACGAGATGCGGATGTTGGACAAGATGAGTCGGAGCCAAGCAATCAGAAGAAGGCCAAGCAGGATCAGCCGCCGGGTGATGCTTAGACCCAGCCGGCCTCTTTCGCAGAAAAAAGCATCTGTGTCATGCTGTTCACCAAACCCCTTTCCCTAAAGCTGTAAGCCTAAACTTAAGTCCGAGTCCTGGTTTGCATAGTTAGTAGCTGGGTCTGCATCCTGTGTCTAGCCACGTAACCACTCCAGCTCCCCACCCAACCTTGACTTTGGCGGGAGTTGGTGTTGTGGGTTTTGGGGTGTCTTCTTTATGGTTGAAGGTGTGTGCGTCACATGTCACTTTCCTTTGCGCGAGGTCCGAGCTCGACGGATGACGGCGCAGCCGGAGGCACAAGCGGGGTGGTACTAAGTCCGGGCTCCTTTCAGAAGGTACTAAGACCTCTTTATTTTTTTGTTTAGTGTGATTTTAAGCTGCGAGCCCTTGCAGGTTTTTATGATTTAAAGCTTCAGGCTTGGGATTTAGGCCTTAGGCCTTGCGGCTTTGGGTTTGCGGTTAGGCCTTGAGGTCCAGATCTTGTGGTTTAGGGCTTAGGGTCCTGCAAACCGTCGGGTACCCGACAAAGTTGTGTCAATTTACAATTAAATCATTACCAACTTGACCAACTTGACTTTTGTCGGTTACCGGGCGGTATATGTTGGCCTCAGTGCTGTGGCTTAGGGTGTTTAGGGCTTACGGCTTAAGCTGAGGGTTTAAGGTAATGGCTTAAAGTTTTGCACTTTGAAGTTTGCGTTGGACTTCTGGCTTGGCGGCTTTGGTCTAGGGTTTAGGGTTTAGTTTTAAGGCTCAGTGTTTAGGGACTCAAGCTTAGTGTGTTGGCCTTAGGCCTTAGGGTTTAGGACTCTTTCGGGTTTAGGACTTAGGGTTTAGGTGTGGCCTTAGGATTGTGGGCTTCGGGCTTGGGACTTAGGCCTTAGGCCTAAGTACTAAAGGGGTTTGGGGTCCAGGCTTGTGGTTTAGGGCTTAGGGTCGTCATGCATATCGCCCCAAGCCCTGGACCCTAAACCCCAAGCCCTGAGGCCTAAGGCCTAAAACCCAAGCCCTAGGCTTAAGACTATTTCCCTAATCCCTTAACCCTAAGACCTAAATCCTAAACCGGCCTGTGTAGCCTAGGACAATGGGCTGTAGAGCCTTAGACCGGGCTGTAAAGCCGTAGGAGGATGGGCTGTAAAGCCCTAGGCCGGGTATAGCCCTAGGCTGAGGAGGGTGAGCCTAAACCCTAAACCCTAAGCCCTAAACCCTAAACCCCAAACCCTAAACCCTAAACCCTCAAATGGGCTGTATAGCCCTAGGCCGGGCTGTATAGCCCTAATTGGGCTGTATAGCCCTAATTGGGCTGCGTAGCCCCAGGACAAATGGGCTGTGCAGCCCTAGACCGGGCTGTATAGGCCTAGTTGGGCTGTGTAGCCGTAGAACAAATGGCCTGTAAAGGCCTAGGCCGCGCTGTAAGGCCCTAAGTTTAAACCTTTAACTTCAACCTTTAGACCAAAACTTTATGCCCTAAACCTTAAACCCTCAGCCTTAAGCCCTAAGTCCTAAACCACCTAAGCCCTAACCCCTAAAACTTAAAACTTACATACCCCGTCGGGTACCCGACAAACCCTAAGTCCTACCCCATCTGTAAGGCCTAAGCCCAAGCCCTCATAAGCGTGGTCTACAATCACTATGTGCTAAGCCTGTACAGCCCTAAGACAGGCTTTGAACCCTAAACCCCAACCCTACACATAAACCCTAAGCAGTGGCGCCCGACTGGAAACGGAGGTGGCAGTACAACCAACTGCTTTGCCACGTGCTGGCGGCACATCGACGTCAGCTGGCCAAACCGGCCATGCTCCACGTCATCGCGGACAAGATCATGGAGCACTGACCGGAAGTGGCTCACCGCCGGAGAGTTCGCCGAGGAAGTCAACATCCACTCCGTGTCCGTGGTGGCACCCCAAACTTTAAACCCTAAACCTTCAAACTTAAACCCTAACCCTAAACGCCAAACACTGAACCCTCAACCTTAACCCTAAACACTACATACCAATCATCCCTATGAACTGACACCGTGGCAGGTTTCACATCGACACACTCCTGGAGCTTTGGCACAGCGAGGTCCATCCGAAGTTCCTAATTAAGCTCCAAACCTGATGAAGTCCTAAATCCTAGGCCCACACCCCAAGCCCGAATCCTTAAACCTTAAGCCCGAGAAACCTTAAACCCTAAGCCGTAAATACAAAGCCCTACACCCTAAACCCCAAGTCCTAAGTTTAAGTAAGCCGCCTAAGCCCGAAGCCAATCCCCAAACTGCAAGCAGAAAACCCGAAACCCTAAACCTTAAACCCTAAGCCTTAAGCTCTAAACATTTTAAGCTACACCAGCCCTGTTTAAGGTTTCCAGCTTTAGGGCTTAGAGCTTAGGCTGATGGTTTAGGACGTTACCTTAAGATTTAAATTTAGGCCTTAGTGCTTGGGTTTTCGGCATTAGGCCTTAGGGCTTAGGGTTCAGTGCTTGGGATTTAAAGGTTGGGCTGATGCATACTCCCGTCGGGTACCCGACAACAGTTGTGGTCATTTTGAGGTTTGGTTTACAGCTTGGGCGGCAGAAGCTTGCATATGGTTTAGGATTCAAACTTAGGGTTTAGGGTTTCTTGTGCTTCAGGCGGGAGGGTTTAGTGAATCAAGCTTTGGGTGTGTATGCCTTAGGCCTGAGGGCTTGGGACTCCTAAAACTTTAAGGCTTAGGCTTTAAATGTGACTTGACTTTTGTCGGGTACCCGACGGGCATGCCCTAGAGCCGAACCCTAAACCTTAAACCCTAAACCCTAAATTCTCAAATGGGAGATCGCAACTGTGTCAGGGACTCCAGGGTGTATGCATCACCCAAAAAAAACACCAAACCCTATAAGGCCTGGGGCTTAAAACACCAGCCCGAAGCCCTAAATCCTAAGGTCGACCACCCTAAACCCTAACGTCAGGATGTTGGGCTTAATAAAGCCCTAGGCAGTGCTGTCTAGGCGTAATCTTAAAATGCTTAGCTCCGAATTTTAAGCCATATCCTTAAACCATCAGCCTTGTGGCCTGAGCCTTAAGCCACCTAGACGTCAAGGCTTGCGTAATATACATTGTATAACCCGTCGGGTACCCGACACACCCTAAGCCCTGGCCTTTAGTCTTCAATTAGGTAGCAGATGAGGATATGTAAAAAGTAGATCCTCAGTTGTATGATGACCCCAATGGCCGTAGCCTTTTTGGCCCACAAGCATGGCACAGCTGGGAGCTTCTTTGCCGACGCAAACAGCAGCTTGGCTTCTGAGGAGGGTGCTAATTTAGCTTCGAGAGTTAAAGGTCTTATCATTGGACATGGCCTCCAGTGCCACCAGACAAAATAGGGTGGTTAAGAGGGGGTTCAGGGGGGGTTAGGGGGGGTTGAGGGTTTAGGGCGGGGAGTTTAGGGGGGGTTTAGGGTGGTTTAGGCGGGTTTTGGGGTGTTGGGATGCAGGTTTGTTCTGCTGAGCACTTGTTGTTTCTGTATGCGTTGGCCATGAATCGGTTGTGACATCTGTTTGTCCCACCCAGCATGGTGCCTCCAGCCCTGTCACAAAGGACCACAGACTTAGTCTGTTGGGCCATGCACCCGAGCGCAGGGTATCCGCATTGTCCCCTCAATGGGATCCCTTGTGCTTCGGGGATGCGGGGGCTTGGACAGTTTTGGCCCATGTTCGGTGCCGCTGGCCGGGCACCGGGACTAACTGGCACTTTGGCGGGTGGGGTGGCCCGCCGCAGGTGTGTCCTGCGCAGGTGTGTCCTGCTGTGCCATGTGGGGGAGGCCAACTGTGTCTTATCGGCGTTGTGCAGTCGGGTACCCGACCAGTCTGGGTTGTCTGTTTGGCCAGTGCAAGTTCATGAGAAAAACCATGGATTTGTATAATCCACTATATGGGTTTGTTATTTTTTTGGGGGGCTCAGGTTTAGGGGTTGAGGGTTTAGGGGGGGTTTAGGGGGGGTTTAGGCGGGTTTAGGGGTGTTGGGATGCAGGTTTGTTCTGCTGAGCACTTGTTGTTTCTGTATGCGTTGGCCATGAATCGGTTGTGACATCTGTTTGTCCCACCCAGCATGGTGCCTCCAGCCCTGTCACAAAGGACCACAGACTTAGTCTGTTGGGCCATGCACCCGAGCGCAGGGTATCCGCATTGTCCCCTCAATGGGATCCCTTGTGCTTCGGGGATGCGGGGGCTTGGACAGTTTTGGCCCATGTTCGGTGCCGCTGGCCGGGCACCGGGACTAACTGGCACTTTGGCGGGTGGGGTGGCCCGCCCGCCGCAGGTGTGTCCTGCGCAGGTGTGTCCTGCTGTGCCATGTGGGGGAGGCCAACTGTGTCTTATCGGCGTTGTGCAGTCGGGTACCCGACCAATCTGGGTTGTTTGGCCAGTGCAAGTTCAGGAGAAAAAAACCATGATGTGTATAATCCACTATATGGGTTTGTTCTTTTTTTGGGGGGCTCAGGTTTAAGAAGGGCACACAGCTTGCACACCCGCGAAACATACCCCGAAACATAGCCCGTAACATTGGTCATGTAGTGCATGATGCCGCGAAACATACCCGAAACATACCCCCGAAACATACCCCGAAACACACCCGCGAAACATACCCCGACCGCAACACCAAACTGAGGTATGCAGTATGCCTTCCACTGCAGCCGCCGCTGCCACTTGACTTTAAACACTAAACACTAGGCCTTAAAACCGAAGCTCAAACCCCTTAAAACTTCAAGCCTAGTCCCAGGCACAATTATTGCACCAACCTGCCCGACGCCCTAACTTTAAACCCTAGTCACCTTTAAACCTTAAAGACTAAGCACTTTGAGTGACTTGCAACAATGGTCAAGCAAGCCCTTAAAACCCTAAAAACCCCTAAAACCCTAGAGAAGCCCTAAAACCTTGAAGCTGCTGGATTTAAGGCCTAGCGGTTAGGAGTTAGGAACAGGAATTGAGAATCGTGGATATGTTTTTGGTTTCGGGTTTAGGGTTTACGTTTCGAAACAAACACCCGAAA